GCTTTCCTAAGATATTTCCCCTCACTATCCCATGTTTGACTGAGATCCTGGAGCATATAGGGCTCAATAACATACCCAGCTAGTTCCGCAGCGAGTTTGAAACCAGCCTCCTCGTTCACATCGCCAAAAGTTACATAGGCACTGCCCGCGGGTTTCCGCTCAGGTTAAAAAAAAATATGCTTTCTTTCTTCCGTTCAAACCAGCTAGTTAGGAGATAAAACCCACCCAGCTTCAACGAAACGGTGCACGAACGCCTTTCCCAATCCAGACGCACCTTTGAATCTCATATTATTAGCAAGTCGCATATTCGTCAACAACGAAAAGAATTGATAGACAGAAACACATAACTGGGGGGTCCAGTCTAAATACCTCCTGTCACGATGACACTCTTCCCTCTGAGGTTTTCGAGGCATGGCAGAATGCTGCAGTCGAGGACACGGTTTTTATACTGTGCGGAAGTCATTTTGTCCAACAGAAAGGATTTTGTGCTGTGATTTCGCGAGTATTTAGCAGAAACCAGTCATTCTCGTATTTGACAACCGAAATATGCAAACGACGCGTTCTGTCTTGAAGCCGTAACTGAATAATACGGATGAAAAGCCGTTCTCGCTCAGCCCTAATGTGTAAATAAGGACATGATTATCAACATCACCGACCACCAATTTCCAAAACCCAGTGAGATATATCAAAAATTATAAAAGGGCAGAGCGACAAAGGCTGAAATAATAGATAAAAAGGATAACTATTATTTCTTCGAATGGCTATTTCAATGGACAGAGCGTTAGAGTCTCCAATAGTGCATGGGAAAACTGAGCCAGGGCTGTTAATCCTACCAGATATGCTGTCATGGACAAGAAAAAGTGAAGCCATATTTGCAAGAAATCATTGGTCTGTGTCCTGTAACAAAGATAACTATGTCAGAACAACAGAGAACCTAGTTTTATAGATACTGGAGGGCGCGGTTGACCAGGTGACCTCAGATTGAAAGTTTCTTGACAGCCTTCGCGCATCAATCACTTACTATTATTCTCATATAAATCTTATATAGAGACACAAAGATATTATGTATCAAAATCTATAGGTTATGATAATCCTTCACTCAAAGGATTTTAAAAGTGGAAAATATAGAGATCTCAGGTAAAGGTTTTACTTAATCCCAAGGCCGGCTCAGATTGAAGCTTGAAGACTAGCACACGACAGTGGCCACTATGGAAGGGTGGATGAGACGTTGCCAGCGCAAAATTCCAGTTTCTCACAAGAAATTCACATGCGGTTCCCTCCCTCGTTCCGAAAGCCAACTTCATCCCTTTGATGGGAGGACGTTGCTGGAAAAGGTATGTCTGGCGCATAGGAGATGCCCGTCTGAAAGGTTGTCCTTGGCCTCCTAGGGACGACCATCAACCTAATTGAAAACACCAGCGAGACCTCAGGGGACCAACGCAAACCCTGAATCTCATCACCTCCTCCGAATATCAAGGCATACCACCAACCCTGTCGGAGGCCCACGGGCCTTTTTATGTGACGTTTTGCCCGTCAGCAGACAGACAACAAGCAAATGATCAAACTCCGTCCCGGGCATGCGCAACCACAACCAAATCCCAGCAAAACATAAACATCTCCATTGTTCTCCGTGGAAGTATTGCACGTGGTATTGTTTGGAACATGTGTGGAACCCTTGATCCGCTAAGACTGTTTGGTCTGAACAGGGACCCTTGTCGAGCTGGGGGATTTTAGATGGACACCCATGAACTACATGGAAATACTTACAATTGATCGTAGCACTCCCCTCCGAAAACCATTACGCTGTATTCATCAATAGTGCTTCGGCTAATTTGAACTGGGTTCAACATGGATTTGAATACCACCATTAACGGGGTATTGGACCCTGGCCGACCAGGATATCAAAAGCCAGGAAGAACGGAAGAACGGAAGAATGGAAGAATGGAAGAATTTAGGGCTGCGACTAATAGCTCGAAACATTTGTGTCGTCGTGGTTGTTTCATCAGCATGCTTTTCGTCTTCGCCCCAATGGAAAAGGTACGAGCAATGTTCCCTGCATTTGTTCCTGAGCCATTGTTTAGTTACATCTCCACAGATACTTTGAAACACGGAAGCCCCACCACTGATTCGTTTCAGCTTCCATGGGTTGAAAATTTCGCAGGCAAATCAGGCGACTGGGAGGCTATGTCAAAAGTGCAAACTGTCCTTCGAATTACTCCGTACTCCGTACAGTACTTCAACTGGTTGTGGAGGGGGTTGACATCGTTGTAGCCATGTTGCCAGGTTAAGCTTCCACAAATGCCCGAAGGCGTGGCACTCATAGGCTTTGATAGAGCCAGCGAAGGATCCAGTTAGGCGGAATGTCGAAATATGCTCACTCTTTCTGATCATCATGGGGGTTGCCTGATTCGTACGTTTGCTTACCACAGATCCAAAGTAGAGAAGATGAAAACACGCCCACCAGGCCTGGATGACAGGGAATCAAAGCAGCACGCTCAGTTTCAATGACGGCGAGAATGGTGAGGCGCTTGCCTGATCCCCCAAGATTCACCTCGTACTTTTGAGTCGGAGGAAAATGGAGAAACTCCTTAAATCCCCACCTGTTCTCAGGCTTTGCTTCTCCTCACAACTCGAAGCAACTTTTGACGATGAGAGCCAAAAGTTCAACGATTTTGGTTCGGAAGCTCAGCCCTTTCCCAGAAGTACGAAAACCACTAGTTAATAAAATTCTAACAACACAACGGTGCGGCAAGCACTGGAAAGGAAACAGCTTTTGATGGCTCCTCGCACCAAAGATGTTCCTGAAGTGCTACTTACCTAGCTTTTCACGGTAAGAATAAAACTGAATGAAAAAAAATGGCGTCAGATGGCTGGGGCTAGATTCGCATAACAAACGTGACAGCTGCATGACAGCTATCGGTGGAGCATGCATGACCTTGGCCAAATAGGAAGAACCACCTGGCATGACGGCGGCGAAGAAAAATACAGTTTCCAACATTCTGTCAGCGTCAGTCCGGTGCTCGCCATTTTTGGCCAAACATGTCCCACTCAGCTCGAATTTCCGAGACATTTTGGAGTTCCAGGAACGGTGGGAATGGTGGTACGAGGTGTGGTTCGCCACGGGATATCGGCCTCGACTTCATGAGATGTGCATTATGAAGAGGCCTGAGCACTGTCTCTCTGCAGAATGCAGACGGATGCATACGCTCGAGTTCATCACAAAAAGCTCAGTTCTGTACATGTCATAATACGTATCAAACAATCATCCATCACGGAATAAAGCCAAAAGGATGCTGCTCATCGAAGTATGTCACGAGCCCAGTCGGGCTTCCAGAACAAGCCAATAGATGTGCTGTCACTGACGCAAGAGCAGGGAGCATTGTCCTTTGTGAAATCGTCGATAGCGTCTGCAAGTAGTGGATATACACAGTGCTCCTGTCGTGGCTTTTCACCAGCCGGGCATGCGCTAATGGCTAGGCCATAAAGCGAGGCGGCGGCTGGCTGACACCTAGACTTTGTGATAGCTTGGGGCCATACTACAGAGTAGTTCCCCATTCAATTACCCAAACAACGATGTGCAATAGTTAACTATTTTGATTAACTCTCTTTACTGATCAAAGAAAAATAAAGTCTAGAACTGAGGATGGACGAGAGAAAACACATTTATTCTTCAGCACCAATCAATCGAAGTGTTCATTCACTTCGGTTCTCACTCATCACAATCCTCTGGCCTAATCTGATTTTATACCGTACCTTGAATATTCGCTGCTTCATAATGACTATACATTCTAAATTGATTCAAACCTGACCTTCATATTTTCATTCAGTCTTTCTTTTACGGTTTTAAATATGATATCAAGCATCACCATCTCTCCAGCACTCTGGTAATGGCAATATTTGTGGTTATAAAGCAGCCACCCGGAGCACAGCGTAACCAAAATAGAACAGCTGGCTTATCAGAGCGCTCGCCTGCAACTGTGGCCTACCATTTGTAGGGCGAGTGGTTGCCCATGACAGTTCCAGCTGTCATCATCCGGCCACACAGAGGCTGCGGGCGGGCTCAAGCATATACGTACATACGCCGTAATAGTAGATTTCCTTTTCGTGGCTGAAGTGCCTGGATCCTCGGGGCTTAACTTGATCTTATAGGGGCATTTGCAGGTTTGGGAGGCAGTTGTAAATGACAAGCAGCGCACACCATCCGTGACTTGGGCCGTACAGCGTTTGAAAGAATAGACACTAGTAGTGTCCATGAGCCCATAACGAATAAATCCTAGTATTCCAAGAGCCTCGAGCTTTTTAACAGCTGATTGAGATCTGTTCAAAATTGAAGATATAGAGAGGATATACTCATCTCTCTAAAAAGATTTGATCAAGTCACTGATCTTTATATTAGTATTGACTTAAGATAGTTCATTTCATGATCTGGAAAAGGTATACGGAATTAATTGCCATAGTTTGATTCACACAGCTTCGATCAAACTGCATTGCTTTTTCCTTGTCTATACTTAGGCTTGAGTCTTGAAATAGACCTTTCAGTAATTTTTAGAAACGGTGAATATGATGCTCCTGAAGGTAAAAACCATGCAGTATTATAGAAATGCTGATAGTCAGATTTTGAACATGTTTGGAAACCTCAAGAGACTGTCACAACTGACATAAATTCGCGTCCATCACAAAATAAAAACTGAGAACCATCTATCAGAGTATATAGACACAGTTAAAATGTAATCAATAGTCACAAAGTCTGGCCCGGCTCATAAAGATGAAGGACTTCCTGAACAAGCACAGGGGGACCCTTCAAGCTGTCGGGATGCAGAAGGCTTGCAGACACATAGGGGCGCCAGTTCAACAAATGCAGTACGGAGTAAATCATATTGAACTATATGCCAGGAATCCCTGTCGAATATGCCGCTTTCTCTTTTCAAGGCGAGATCCCTCGATTGAGCTGAAAATCTGGGCAAATGATCGAACATCGCAAACAAAAAAAAAAAAAAAAAAAAAAAAAAAAAAAAACCGATTATTAGTTACTTATCTTATCCACCCTTTTGAGATTGGCAAAGTATCCGTATCTCGCTCTTATTTTTGGATTGAACTCTTGACGCATCTCCGTGGCAACAATCAGTTGGGCTGGAACCAAGCCAAACAAGGATATAATGCGCTGCATTCCTCGGTCTTAAAATTGTGGCCCTCCTGTGTATATCACTAAGGAATCCCCTTGCATTCGACCTCAGAACGCAACTTATTTCATAGGAGCAACAGCGATTGGACCTCCATGTCAAACTTTCTCTGAATCAGTATTCTTGACGAAATCCAGTCCTGGTGGGAAGAAAAGGAAAAAGGAAAACGTATTCACAAATTTTGATTCAGCTTGAAGTCAAATCAAGACAAACCATAATGCCCCTTGGCTCCGATAGCATCAGAAAAACAGGGATTGATTGCCCCGTTCCTAGTTTCAAGACA